AAGATTTCAAAGTAGCTAGAATATTTATTTATTTATTTATTCATTTATTTATCTATTTGGTATAGGGTCTTGCTACACCACTCAGACTCTTAATGATCCTCCTGTTTTCAGCCTCCCCAGTGCTGGGATTACAGGCATGCACCACCATGCCAAGTCTCCATGGCCTGCTCAGGGTGCTTGGGGGTGGGGCTGGCTCGGCCTGTGGTGACAGAGATTGAATCCTAGTCCCTACACTTACCTAAGCAGGCTCTTAGTCCACTGAGCTAGCTGGCCAGCCCTTTATTCCTGTTATTACCTGACTAGTTAGTCCCTTACCCTAACCCATACCTATTCTATCACCATGAGAGCATGTTCAGACATTTGGGGCTAGGCGGGAGAGGATAGGGTAGCCAATATATTGTAAGCATCAGGTCACTTGTTTTTAAGCCTGTTAGATGAATTCCCCAGTGTTTTCTAAGGTGGATCATAAGTTGTAGGAAAGGCAAATGAATAATAATCCTAAACATTTATATTAATGCAAAACAATATCTTACAAAGCAAAGTTACTTTTGTAATGTATCTCACCCAACTTGATCTCTACAGAGGGTGCCAAGTAGAAAAAAATATTATCTGCATCTTTGAATAAAGAAACTGAAGCTCAGAGAGGTTAAGTGGTCTGCTCAAAGTAGGCAATGAGTCAGGACAACAGTGAGAAGCACCTTCAGGTTTTCAGGCTTTGGGTAAAACACAAACTGCTTGTTATGAAAGACAAGGACTTTGCTGATCTGGCCTGGATCCTTCTTAGTCTGTTCTTTCTCCAGGTGTTACTTTGTTCTCTAGAGTTTCCTATTTACAAATTTGCAACCACTGTTACCCTGCCTGAAATGTTCCTCCACCCAAGTGTACCTGGGTGGAAATGCTATTTCTTTTTTTCTTTAAGACTCAAGCAATGTGGGCCGGGGAGATAGCTCAGTAGATAAGCACTTGTCTGGCGAGCGCAAGGTCCTGAGTTCAATCCCTGGTACCTCAAAAAAAAAAAAAAACCTCAAGCCATGTGTCAGACTTCTCTTCTAGATCCTCTGGCAGGATTAAGAGTTTCCTGTCCAATCTGCAACATCTTGGACATAAATTTTTTTGTATGTTTGCTCCATGGTGTTGACATGTAGTTACTGCTGCTTTTCTAGCTGTTTTGGTCTCTAGACTGAGACATTCAAGATAGAAATGACTCATGTTCAGACTATTAGCATAGTACCACATCAGTGTCAAGTACACAGGAAGTGCTCAATTATGGTTCAATAACTAAAAAATGTTCAACAACCCCAATAGTGTCTGAATGAGAAAATGATTATCTGGTTGCTTCTAGGAAAATAAAACCCTAATTTCGAACTCTTGGTCCGTGTGGCTGCTTTCTAAGAAGACACTATTTTCAAGGTACGTGGGGTGCTTTAACCAGTGAAAAACTCAAACTTACGTGATGCAGGGGTCACAGTGCTCACACACAGAAGTGCTACAGTAAAAGTTTGCTTTACATCTGCACTTGGCATTCTGGGTTCGGGTACAATTTCGTTCCACTTCTAAGCCTGGAAAATCAGTTCACAATGGTTAGTTATATCACCTAATTAAAAATGAACTATGAAAACAACAGCCAAGAGCTACGTGGATTTCAGACCTAGTGCTTTTATCAACAGTCATATCATCATGACTGCTAGGAGTTTAAAGTAGACAGATAATCCAGCAATTAAGATAATCCCCATGCTTGTGTAGACCGCTCACCTGTTCCTCTTAGTCTAGAGCCTCACTACTCAAAAACATAGTCCAAAAACCAAAACATCAGCTTTTCCCAGAGCTTATGGTAGTGACACATGCATGCAATGTCCCACTAGAAACAATCTAACCAAATCCAAAACCCTCATTTAGAGATTATTACTAAACTCCTCTTAGCTGGCACCTAAACACTGGATTGGAATTGCCCTGTAGCTAGTCTAATGCTCAGCTAAGATGGAAGAAGATCACTTCAGAGCCTGAATAAGAACAAGAAAAGTTTTACATTTGCTTTCTGCAGACAAACAAAAATAGGAATATTTCTATTAAATTTTAACCTGGACCCTCAGAATCAATTAAAAATACATGAAAAATCTGGGTCGCCAAGTAGAATTATCAGGAAAAATCAGATCCTTAAAGATGGAAGCAGGCCAGAAAGATGGCTCAGTAGAATAAGTGCTTCCCTAGCAAGCATAAAGGTCTGAGTTCAATCCCTGGTTCCACCAAAAAAAAAAAAAAAAAAGAAAAAAGAAAAAAGAAAAGATGGAAGCATAACTACATCTACATCTAGATATTCCTCTATCTGCCACCATACATACATAAATCAAGGCAGGAAAAAAATTTTCTGTGGTTTGGGTGGGAGCTGGTATCTACTTTTCAAAGGGCTGAGATAGGAGTCATTTGCCTTCTCAGGAGAACGGCCAGAAACTAACCCCAAAGTGATCCTAACTCAGTACCTGGTCCTGCACTGCCTCAAACGGCTGTGTCCAGCCCCTTCCCATATGTGACACAGCACAAGAGTGAGTCCAAATCTCGAAAGACATTAGGAATGGCTTTGCACAAAGTACTATGGCTGGTCTGTTTTGATTGCTTTTGAAAATACTTACCATGTGCTGCATCACAGAAGGTACAGCGCCTGCATTTAGAGGAATAATGCTCCTTGTCTGTGTATTCTTCCCCTTCCTTGCAGAACTCGCAGACTGGTTCACCATTATCAGATTTACAGTCAGCAACTTTCCATTTGCCTGGCCATGTAAAAAAGGGACAAGTTTTTGAAGGCAAGGTGACACATAACAGCATGAGACACAAGCAAGGATAGTTAAAAATAAATAAATAAATAAACTCTTAAAATCGGGAGTAGAGTAGGACAGGTATTAGGCTAATGATACATAAATATTATAGCAAAGAATTTTATTGTAAAAATTATATCAGGGCTGGTGAGATGGCTCAGTTGTCTAAAGCACCTACTTAGAACAGGCTTAGCAAAGCACAGGGACTGCAGTTCTAATCCCCCAGCACCACATGCCAGCCAGCCCTGCCCCCTGGTGGGCTGAGCTGGCCACACACACACACATACATAAATAAAATTTTTTTAAAAAGCTAAAAAAAATTATATCAAAAGCCAGAAAGCCTTCCAAGGGAAAATCTAAAAGAGTGCAGGAAGATGGCTGAAGAAATAGGATGAGGAACAGTAGGATATTTTTAACAGATGGAGGGAGTTTAGGATGACCAAATGCACCAAAAGAAATGCTTTTTGCAACTAACTTCTTTGGTGAAAGAGGACAGTTTGGAAGGTAAGTATATCCAGATTGGAGATGACTATCACTGACCATTGATATTACACAACTAATTCACTTTGCTTGGGTTTTTGATTTTACTTTCTGAAGTCTACAAATCCCTACACAAGAGTAGCTGAAGGATGGGCCAGCCAGATAGCTCAGTGGATTAAAGCATCTGCTTAGGTAGACTCAGGAGTTGGGGGCTCGATCCCTGGCCTGCTGGAGCACGCTGAGACAGGGAACGAGACTGGGCATGGTGGCGTGCACCTGTAATCCCAGCGCTTGGGAGGCTGAAAAATGGGAAGGATCACTACAAGTCAGATTTGTGTAGTGAGACCCCGTAGACCTTGTGATAAATACATTTAAAAAAAAGTAGTTGAAGGAAAGAAAACCCTTGAAGTTTTAATGACTTGAGTCATGTGTTTACCAGCTATAAAGTTGTTAACAAAGTACATAGTCCCTCGCAGCCTAACTTGTGTCAGGCACATAAGGAAGATGTCTCCCAATACCTCCCCTCGCACTGCTATAGAACCTGTGCACAAATACCCTCTTCTGTCTCTTTTCCTTATGTTCCTTCTTAGCTGGGAACAAAGTGTGTTTTGATGAGCATGTATAAACATACTTATAATAAAATTTACTCTCATAAAAATTTACTCTCATATTTATTATCTTTTTTTTTAAATAAAAACAACTCTACATTTATTGGCCTTCAGTAAAAACATAAGGGTAGTCAAAACAATATGAACAAATGTTTTACAAACACTCCCAGGGCAAACCACTTAAACAACTGCCTTTTTGACATATCATCATAATTGCCATTGCCTCACTTCCCTGCTGTGTGAATTCATTGATCATTTCTAGTTGGAGACACTTTGTAGCAGAGTAATGTTATCTCCTTTCAGCATGATCTGACCCAGTTGTTTTCTTGACTTTGTTTTAGAATGAATTTCTTCTGCATCATCTAATACAAGGTACATGTACTCATCAAAACCAATAACACAGCCCTCTATCCGCATGTTCAGTTGCTCATACAGCCAGTCCTGGATCCGGGATCTATTCTGCAAGTATCTGAAGATGAGGTTGATGGGCTGCACCATTGCCTTATGCACTTTCTGGCCCTGACCTCGGTACGCCATGGCAGAGCCTGACAAAGACAATGCCAGCCACCATGCTACCTCTAGCAGCAACTCATATTTATTATCTTAATCATGCAGTTTAAAACACTAGTCATATTCAAGTTATTTTACAAAATGGAGTAAGTCACTGCAGTGCTATCACTAAATTGTAGAATTTCTTCTGAAAAATTCATGTATTCAACAAATATTTATTAAATGCCTACCATATTTTGTAGGTATATGACTTTCTCAATAACCTAATAGCATTCTCTCTCTCTCTCTCTCTCTCTCTCTCTCTCTCTCTCTCTCTCTCTCTCTCTCTTTGCAGTACCAGGGATTAAACTCAGACCCTGCGCTTGCCAGGCAAGCACTTATTCTACTGAGCTATCTCCCCAGCCCAACGTTCTTTCTGATAACATTTATTACATAATTATGCACTGTACATACACACCATATTTTAATAAACAAAGACAATAATCTGCTAACAGAAAAATACAAACCAACCATGAAAGCTCAGAACCAAATTCAAGCACAGGTCACCAAGGCTATATAACTTTACAGCAATGCTTTAAAAGAAAACAGTAAAAAGCATTGGCCAGATAGCTCAGCAGTCTAAAATGTCTGCTTAGGCAAGCCCAGGGACCAAAGTTCAATCCCTGACACCACATGCCTTGCTGGTCCCTGCTCCTGGAGGCACTCTGAGACTTTGAATGAAACTGGGAAGTGGTATGCACCTGTAATCCCAGAATTTGGGAGGCTGAAAACGGGAGGATCACTACTAGTCTGATCTGTGTAGTGAGACCCTATAGACCCTGTATTAAATACATAAAAAGAGAGAGAGAAAAAGAAGAAAGAAAGAAAGAAAGAAAGAAAGAAAGAAAGAAAGAAAGAAAGAAAGAACTGTATTTCTAGCAAGTGGTCTTTTACTGGTTTCCAAGTGCGTTGATTTCTTAAATGAACTACCTTTTAGAATTTGCATAATGCAACATATACAGCATGACAGAGATACAAAAAGGCACAGATTTTTTGTTTCTCAGAAATACTCAACCTAAATTTATTAAAATATGAAAAATAAGTTGTTTTCTTGAAAATAAAATTTCAAGATTTATTATTGTTTGAGTATCATGATATCTGTTTACTATAGAAAAATTGGAAAAGAGAAGAAAATATTAACATACATATACATCAAGTAATTTGTGGCATTTATTTCCTATTATTATTATTTTACGTATTTGGTCATTGCAGGGTCTTACTACACAGCTCAAACTCGTGGTGATCCTCCTGCTTTCAGCCTCCCCAGTGCCAGGATTACAGGTGTGTACCACCATGCCCAGACTCTGGTGGGCTCAGCGCATCCTGGGGACTGGGCTGGTGCAGCATGTGGTGACAGGGATGGAACTGCAGTCCCTGTGCTTTCCTAAGATGTTTTAGTCTGCTGAGCTATCATACCTGCACTGCTGTTATTTTTTATAATCCTAAGCATATATACATACAGATATATGTATACATATGACTACATGGATGTGCAGATATATATATATATGCAATATTTTACAGAATTCTTACTGAATACAGTAATGTGGTAAGCATTTTTTGAGTAATAAAGGCTCAATTCATATATACAATCATTAAAAAATAATACATTTTATTTTAATAAACAATCACTATATGATCATCTGCTAATCACATGGAACCAAGTTATTAGATTTTGGATTGTTACTTAAGTTACATCCATAACATATCACCTATGATTCCTTATTTAACTCTTTCTTTTTTCCTTCATTCTTTCTTTTCCTCTTCCCCTTCTTCCTTTTTTTTTTTTGATTACAAATGTTTTAAATACATCAAGTCTGAATGATTCAAGTTCTCTAAAATATTCATCTTCGTTTTCCTTGAAATAAAACTTGTCCTTTCTCATTTGTATTTTTTTGATTTATCCAATAGTTAATTAAATGTCATGTTACTATCCCAACAGTGATGAGTATAAGCAGATTGAATTAACTTGAATATTGCGAAGCCTAAATGTAGCAAGTGAGAATAAAAGGGGAAGGCATCTGTCATTGGATGTCCTGCAGGACATTAGGGAAGAGGAGAAGAGCTGATACTCCACCCAGAAAACCAGCTGGAAGCCATTAAAGAAGATCTAGATAATTGAAGTTTATGTAGATAACTGAAGCTTATAGCCAGGCACTGTGTGCACACTTGTGATCCCAGCACTTGCAGGGCAGAGGCAAGAGGATTGCGCAACTTCAGCCTGGGCTCCATATTAAGTTCAAGGCCAGCCTGAAATACACAGCAAGACCTGCCTTAAAATCGTAAGAATAATGATTGAAGATCACATTAGAAACATATAAGGAACTCTGGGGAGCCAGGGAAAGAAAAAAGAAAGAAGGAAAGAAAGAAAGAAGAAAGAAAGAAAGAAAGAAAGAAAGAAAGAAAGAAAGAAAGAAAGAAAGAAAGAAAGAAAGCTCTGATACCCTGTGATTTGGATTGACTATCCAGCTTTTGATGACTCCAGAATTCATCTAAACAATCCCACACTACTGGCTATCACAATGAACTATGGTGCATAAAATATTTTTTGTAACTTTCTCTAGGCATTTACCTATAAATCAGTTACTGTCTCAGTGTGTATAAATGTTTTAAAGGCTTGGACTCACATCAAAGTTCTTTCTTAAAAATATATAATTGTTTTCATTCTTATAGTGCTGTTAGAAGAGTTCTTATTTCGTAAGTAAATTCATCAGGGCAGAGATCACTTATTAAATGTAAATAAGACAAAGCAATTTTTCAAAAGATCAGACAAATTGTTTTAGATTTTAAACCAAGTTGTAAGATGAGCACTATTGGGCAAGTTATTTTTTTTAAAGCCACGAAGCCCTTCTCTATTACTGTACAGAAAAGTGTAAGTGGAAGAGGGCTTATGCATAAGTGGGTTGTATTATAAGGGGAATTTGCCCATAAGATTTATTAAAATCCATATGGGGACCTAAGGGGACTATTAGAATATTTTTATACATATGACTGATGCTTCATTCGCACTTTGAGTGCTAGGAGCGTAGAAGGCCAATATGCAACTTACTGAAGTTTTGTTTGGGGGCTCTTAGTCTATTGCACAAATATCATTTAAACCAGTTTACTATTTCCTTTACCTTTCTGTCTTCACAAATGAGTTCAGAGAGATCTATATCCCGTGCACTAGTAATAAATTTAGTTGGATAAAAAAGCTTGTATATTTGTATTTTTCTTAGTTCCTAATTTTCTAGTGTTGGAAGGATTTCTAATTTGAAGTTGGTTTGTATCTCAAAAGACTTATGTTTAAAAATGTTAGTTTTTGTCCAGTGCTTTTCTAGCTCATTTATTCAGCTACAAAATGCAAATATAATTTGCAGGCTTGAGTGCAAAGACACACCGCTTTCTTCAAGGTCTAATTTAAGGGAGCTGCTTAGGCAGATCCTTTCATGGTAAAAGTCACTTGCCTCCGGGGCACTGTTATTATTATTCCGCTACATCTAAGTCGGTTTTGAGATGACAAGTGAGTCACTTTTTCTGTTTGTGAGAAATGGAGCTAAATAGACAAACCTTCCCATTTCAGAGGTACAGGCCATTTGTCAATTATAGTTATTCCTAATCACGACAAACAAGTGTGACAAAGATGAATAAAACCAGTCTTTGGAAAATAATTGCACAGTTGTCTTCTCTTCTAATAATATTATACACCACAGGAGAACCAAATGCAATAAGAATCATTATATTTATTGCTGGTGTATGCTGCTTCTCATGCTCATTTTCATTCTGGGTGTTTTCTGTAACCTACCAGGAGGACAAGGGAGACAGCAGAAGTGACCTGCAGGATGCAAGCCTTCTGTGCACTGGGCATTTCCATTAGAGACTTTGTTCCCCAATTCCAGCCCTTCAGAGCGGGTATCAGTCGCTAGAGCAGTCACAGTTTGGGGCAATGGTCCAGCAATGAAGATGCATACCTGTAAATATAAAGCATACGCGGAATTTTACTAATTTCTGAAAGAAGAAATTTGGAGAACAGGTATCACTATCCCAGATTTGCTGTATATGTATGCAGCACACAGGCGAGGTCGCTGCAGGAGCTCCATCCCAGGCAGCTTAGGCATCCTCGCTAGAGCAGACTGCCTGCTCAGTAGATGCCCTCAGTCACACCAGAGCAGCACCATGCCACCAGAGCCAGGGCTCTGCTCCAAGGTGGGTCTGTTTCCCCATGCCACCCTATATCTGTGGGTGAGGGCACTGAGATTCTCCAAGTCTCAGATTCTTTATCTATGCAGTAGAAATAACATCTTCTTTGGAGTTCTGGTGTGATAATTAAGTAGCTTAAAGTTCTCATAACAGTACCAGGTACATAATACCTAGGGTCCTCTAAGTAGTACTAATAGAAATGTTACAACGTTATAAACTTCTAGTTTTTTCTTTTGTTTTGTTTTGTTTGTTTGTTTGTTTTGGCACAGGGTCTCACTACACAGCTTGGACTCCTAGTGATCTTCCTGTCTCAGCCTCGCCAGGACTGGGATTAGAAGAGTGCAATACCATGCCTGGTTTCGGTAGCAGGCATGGTACACCTGGGATTCCTGGGCCAACACAGCCTATGGTGCCAGGGATCGAATCCAGGTCCTTGCGCTTGCCAGGCAGGTGCTTAGACCACTAAGCTATCTCCCCAGCCCAACACTATAAATTTCTGGTGAGAGGCTATATATATATAATATTTTTTTAAGGAAGGGTCTACAGGGTGTTCAGCGTGTCATAACTAGATCAGACTCATAGTGATTCTCCTGTTTATAGCCTCCCAAGAACTGGGATTACAGGTGCACCTCACCATACCCAGTCTCAATTGCCGTCTCAGGGTGCCCCCGGGGGCAGGACCAGCCTGGCAGGCTCTGGGATCGAACCCCCTGCCCCTGCGCCTGCTTGCAGGCGCTTTAATCCATCGAGCTATTTGGCCAGCCCTAGAGAGGCAGTATTGTGGAGTAGGAAAAGTATAAATAATAATAATGATGATCCTGTGATTTGAATCTCAATTCTCTACCAACTCTGTGACTTTAGGGAAGACAACTATTCTGATCCTCAATTTCTTTGTCTGCTAATTAAGAACAATTTTTTCTATAGTAAAGGGCTGTTGTAACAATTAAAAGTGATAATTTTTATTAAACCAGAATCTAAGCATATAGCACACCTCCTTTCTCATTTGTGTATGAAATTCACATGACCAACAATTCTTACTAAATCTTCAGTATCACCCAGGCATATAAAAAAATAACTCACTAAATCCCACAGGATTTTCTTCCCAGGAAAAATGGACCTTTCCTTACTCAGAGCCAATGTTTAATTAACTTTTGATTCTTTTCTTCAGCAAAACTCCAAGTGACCTTGTATCACATTTATCTTAACTAGCTATAAAATGGAAGTACTTAGGAAAGTGACCAAAGAGCAAACAAAAAGTATGAAAATATTTGGATGTAACCTCTGATTGAGTCCTTTTGTTGAGTTTCCTAAGTATTTTTTATCTCTGTAAAAGCAAATTAAAATAATCATTCATCCACAATATGTAAAACACCCATCATCAAGTTTTTTAAGCAGAATGATATATCAGGGACTAGAGTAATCACATTGGGACTCCTGCTAAATATCACTCTAAAGGCAGCACTGCAATCGAGGGAAGACCTAGGCTTTGAACAGGAAGCGAACGTAAGTCTTTTCTTATTGAAGCTCAAAACAGACAGGAAAAGACAAAGAAACACAAAAAGACAAGAAAGCAGAGCCCAGTACTTTTAAAGGTCAGCTCTCCAAACGGCAAGAATGAGCAGGCAGGGCATGGGTGTCAGTGAGATCCTCAGCCCTGCTCACAGCGTCACACTGACTGCAGGGGATGTGGTCACAGGAAGGCATCCGGCAGCTAGCAGGCAAGCCCAGTGAGGAGGCTTTACTTCTCCCCTGTGACAATTTGGGTCTAGCTGTCCCCACAGCCTCATGCAGTCATGAGCTTAGGCTTCTAAAGTGTGTGACTGACTCCTGGTCTACTGCAGCACACACCACACTAGGGGAGGTGGCCTGCACATGCTGTAAGGGAGGGAAAGAGGCTTGCTCTCTCTCCTTTCTTGTTTTCTTTGCTGTCGTCTGCCACCATGAACTGTTGTCCCCTGCCACATGCCACTCTGCCTTGGAGCCAGCCAAGTATGGGCTGAAACCTCCACAAACTGTGAGCTAACTAAACTTTTCTTCCTTTAACTTTGGGTGTTTGATATTTTGTCTGATCAATGAGAGAAAAGTGAGTAGGATGCATCCAAAGTCCACATAACAGTTGCTGCAATAAGACCAAAATATATAATGCTCAGTTACTGCTGAAAAATGATATCTTGGGGAAGGATTTTAATAGTGATCCAGGCAATTCAATATCAGAAGTGTAACAACTGAAAAAAGTGAAAGAAAACTAAGAGAAAGATAGTTTAAGAAAAAAAATCAATAGGAAATTATTTTCTTTCTTTTCTCTTCTCTCTCTCTTTCTTTCTCTCTTTCTCTTTCTTTCCTTGTTTCTTTCTTTCCTAGTTTCTTTCTTTCCTTTCATTTGTTTGTTCCTTTCTCTTGTGCCAGGGTCTTGCTGCATAGTTCATTCCGGCCTTGAGCTCACTATGAAGCCCAGTGAACCTTGAACTCCAAGTAACTGCCTCTGAGTGCTGGGATTACAGGCATGGACCTCCACATCTGGCTAGGAAGTTACCTTTTCCACATTGACATTTTTAATCTTTCCTTCTGGTTATAGAGATTGAGTGACTTCATTTTGCTAACCTCATCTGTTTTTATGTTTTCTCAATGGACAGTGCCCATTGTATTACAACAGAAATGAAAAGGGGCAAATTTAGTGGTAGTGATAAGTCTAAATATCTGTAGGGTGATTTTTGGTGGTTTTTTTAACCAGGAATCAAACTCAGGACTTTGTCCTTGCCAGGCAAACACTGATGCTGCAGAGCTATATCCCTGGCCTAAATATCTGTACTGATTTATCATTTGTATTATTTTTTTTTCAGAGTTTAAAAATCTGAATAATAGGGGCCGGGGAGATGGCTCAATGGAATAAGTGCTTGCCTGGCAAACACAAGGGCCTGAGTTCAATCCCGGTTCCGAAAAAAAAATTTTTTTTTGAATAATAGTCAATCTATAGAAGCTGCTTGCTTAGTATTTGAAAGGTAGGCAAATTCTAAATATGTGAATCAACAGCATTTAACCTTTCATATATAATGTTACATATATGTGAATATAGATATAGATATAGATATAATGTGTGTGTGTGTGTGTGTGTCTGTCTGTCTGTCTGTCTGTCTGTCTGTCTGTCTGTCTGTGTGTTCCTGAGGATTGATCCCAGGGACTTTGCACTGATATACCTCCAACCCTTTCTAAAAAGATTTTTGTTTAGTTTTTGCTTTTACTTTGAAATATGTTCTCATTAAACCACTAAGCTGCCCCCGTGCCTGGCTATATAATTTAATTGTTTTTAGTTTTCTAGGTTTTATTGACAGTCATAAATTCTACTAAATCAAATATTAGCATTAATCTTTGTTTAACTAAACAAATTTCTTTACGTTAGTGTGACCAGCACTATTTCATCCGCTAATACTGTAACCCACTCAGAATAGCGGTGCTACTGGATAGTGAAGAAAATTATTTTATTTTTGAAAAAAAGTTATGAGAAAACTGTACTAACAGGACCAACATAACCTTGGATCTCGAGAGCTTGGTTATCCAGATCACTTCGTGTGTGGCTATAGCTTTCAGCAAATTCCAGCTCTAATAAATCTGGGTTTATTTTTCTGAATGCTTTCAGGAAAGAATGTTTTATTAATCGTACCTTGACTGATCCCTAAACTGAAAATGCAGCATTCCAGTTGCTGGCCTGCCAGTGGGACAATAAGACAAAGAAAAAGTGCCTTATAATCGAGCATTTGTACCACTGCCAAATTGTAAGCAAGTACATTCCTTACAGACTGTCTTATACCAGTGGAGAGGCTGACTTTTATGTGTGGTTTTTAAAATGACTGAAAAGAAGGGGAAAAAATCTAGTTGTGCAGTATTCACTCATTCAGGCTACTGGAAGCAGGGGTGTAGAAACCATTCATTCAGGTGTATAAGTTCTATATATTTTTTTAGAATATCAGAAATATTATTTAATAGTTGAATGTTGTTTTTTTAAAAAATACACCTTATATGAGCATAAAAGCTGCCCTAATATGTAAGTATAATAAAATAAAATAAAACACTTAGTTTAAAAGTCTTTTTAAAACTCACTTTACCACTTGAAAGTCAGATATCTCAAATTGAAAGTGAACGTTTTAATCTTCGACTCTGAACTTTGAATAGATTGATGAGAACAGGGGATTTATAAAGGTCTGGACATACATTGAAGAAAGACATAGTCTTCCAGAATTCACTAAGAGATGACAGCTGAGAGGGAACACTTGGTAAAAGATGCCAAGTGAGAAGATTTTTAAAAATTGCTATCAGTCAAGCTTCCAGTGGATTCTTAAGATCATCAATATTTAAACCAAAATTTGTTATCTGCAATTATAATTTTAGAGCAGAAAGAACATGAAAGGTGACCTACCCCAAGCGCCCCCTCTGATGGAGGAGGCAGTGTTTCAAGCTGGCGGTGACTGACCCAAGGCCCTGCACCTCACCCGAGAGTCGCCACTGTCATGGGCTGCACGGGAACCTCACTCCCAGATTCACACAGTAATAATGTCCTAACCCCAGAACCTCAAAGTGGGACGGTATCTGCAGACAAGGTCTTTATGGGGCTGATGGAGTTAAAAATGTCAGTAGGTAAGCCCTCACCCAACATGCTGGCTGGTCTGCTTGGCCACACAGAGACGAAGGCAAGCTAAAGACCCAGGGAGAGAAAGACCATCTGCAAAGTATGGAGCGGGGCCTCATGCAGGCTCTTCCTCTGCAGCTTCTGAAGAAC